ACACACACACACACACACACACACACACACACACACACACACGTTTCTGGGTGGGATCAGGTGCCTGTCCAGTCTTTTAGATAGGACCCCAGGGACTTGAGGATCAAATGGAAGCTTGGGACAGGTTCTCCCCTGAACTGCAATGCATGCGCACGCAGACGTGCACACTTAAGCTTTCGGGGTGCTTATGAGGGACTCACTGTCCCCGTTAGGAGTGAATCCCAGGAGAAGTGAGTGGAGTTGACGGCACGGAGAGAGTCCATCCTTCCACTGTCCCGTAGGGGTGCCCCATCGGGGCACAGCCAGAGATCTAGGGAATATGCTACTGGGTCCCTGAGGATAGAGGGCCCTAGACAGGTGGGCAGCTGGGCTGGGCTGGACCCACAGAGAGCCGCCATCTCAGCGTGTGCCGATAGATAGCCTTTGGCTCTGGAGTCGTGTTTTTATCCAGTCAGCTCACACTTGTCCATCATTCTTTCCCATCCCCCAACCTCGCTCCCTGACTTCATTCCAAAGCTCTCTCACCCCTCCCTAGAATGCTAAGACGCTACACTCTACACTCTGCCCACGCCTGCCTCTTGTGGGAAGGCCGTTTCTGGCTGGCACCAGCCTGGGCACTTTCTTGTGACAGGCTGTATCCTGCTCACCCCGATTATGGGGAGAGTGATTTGTTGCAAAGTCACATTAAGACTAAGAAACGGCGCTGGGCAGAGAACTGGGATTCGGCCGATTCTAGGCTGGTGGTTCAGGCCTCCTGAACCTTGGAACCTTAGGGCTGGACATGTCTAGGGCCCTAAAGACACGGCCTTCGGAGACTGGGAGCCTCTGTGGGAGGGACCACAGGGAGTTTCCTGATGGGAGAGGACTAGCAATGGGACCCACCCTGCGTGGGCACCGTTATCCAGGCCTCCTTCACTGGGCTGTGGGGTGAGACACAAATCTGCACAGGAGTTTAGAACAGCGACTGGTCTGAGACAAGCTGATAGTGTTTCTCCGGCTCAGTGGAGCCTGCTGGACCCCAAACAGCAGCCTAGGCCCTGGGGTCTCTAGGGGAGACCAAGCCAGGCCCAGCAATGGCTGTTAAGGGGCCACTGGACAGGACTGTCATTCACGGAACTTGGTGATGGCATCCTCAGCCTGTGATGGACACAGGTCCTTGGTGACTAGAATGAAAATTCAGTTGGTCATTCAGAACAAGGAGAGAAACTTCTGGAAACTGTAGGAGGCCTTTCTGGCCAGTGTCTCCTTCCTGGCCAGTGTCTCCTTCCTGGCCAGTGACTCCTTCCTGGCCAGTGTCTCCTTCCTGGTCTGTGCCTCCTTCCTGGCCAGTGTCTCCTTCCTGGTCTGTGGCTCTTTCCTGACCAGTGGCTCCTTCCTGGCCAGTGTCTCCTTCCTGGTCTGTGCCTCCTTCCTGGCCAGAGGCTCCTTCCTGGCCAGAGGCTCCTTCCTGGTCTGTGGCTCTTTCCTGACCAGTGGCTCCTTCCCTTTGCCTTTGGATCCTGGCCTTGTAAGGCCAGGTGGGGGACAGGGATGGGTAGGTGTTAGAATGTGTGTCTAGCATGCAAGAGTCCCTGGTGAGATTCCCCAGAGCCATACATGTGCACATACCAAGCACACCCATGCATCCCCACAGTGGGAAACCCTCCCTTCTGGTGTACCCCACGCAGTGGGAAACTCAGCCCTGTTCTCTACGAAAAGAGCTCAGCCCAGGTCTGCCGACCTCATACCTTCCTCTGCCTGTGCAGTAAGCTGGTGCTGGTACCCAAGGACACTGGGAAAGCATTACCCAGCAGCCCCGTGCCTGGCAGGGATGGAGAGCAAACACAGTTGCAGCTATCCCAACAGGCGGCCTCAGTGTTTCAGCTAACGGAATAATAACCCAATTCCTCCCATGAGGGGCGGCTGCCTGACAGGCTTTGACTCAATGGCCGCTGATGGTTTCCATCTGGTGAGGCGAGCAGGACGCAGTGGTCAAGCTTGAAGACCGGAGTTCGATCCCCAGCACCTTTGTAAAATGCACTTGTAACGCCTGCGTCAGGGAGGCAGAGGCAGGTACATCCCTGGGACTCACTAACCAGTTGGATTAGTCGAGTTAGCAAGTTCCAGGCCAGTAAGAGACTGTCTCAGAAAGCCAAGGTGGGTGGCATCTGAGGAATGGGACCCAAGGTTGACTTTTGACCTACACACACACACACACACACACACACACACACACACACACACACACACAGAGAGAGAGAGAGAGA